TTCTGCGTAGGACTGAACTGTATGCCCTGTCACTTAGCCAGCAAAGGAGGGGCTCCTATCCAATGTGTAAAGTAAGGGCAACAGCGATCAACCCTGTTGAACTGACTGAGATAGCACAAAAGCATTCAACTGCTTCCTGTTCACCTGTATCATAGCACTGGGGGAGTGATACAGGAGGCTGATCCACCTGCAGAAGTTAGGTTTGAATCTGGCAGCCTGCAGGACAGCAGCTAGGTACTGATGGTCAACCCTGTCAAATGTCTTGGACTGATCCAAATTGATCACTGTGGCTTGCTTGTTGAATATATTGATTGGAACCTTGACAGATCTCTTCCTTGTGCAGTTCTGCACCAATTTTCATGGCTTTGTTAGACATCTTGTTTAACCTATGTCTAACTACCTGACTCTGGTAGTGCTTGCTAGCCATGCACTGTAGGGCCTGCCTAGCTATGGCTATCTCTGGGGAATCCTCACCCCAGCCACTGCCTGGGGCAGACTATCCTCTACCTTTTTGCAGACTATCCTTCACCTTTTTAGCCTTATCTAGAGCAAGTTGTTGGCTATATTCAGTGGTGAAGGACCTAATCCTATCCTTAAGCCTCTCCCACCACTTACTCCCAATAACTGCCCCACACTAATTTTCACTGCACTAGTCTAATCAGCTGTTGCTGAAAGTCCTACCTGTCTATTAAGGACACGTTGAACTTCCAGTGTCCAGCCATTCTAGGCCTACTACCTAACACAATCCAGGCACAGATGATCCAAATAGTCTAAGTGGTGGAATGTGGGAGAATCTAGTAAATCTAGTTTGACCCTTCTCATTAACATTCTGTCCAGGTAGCTGGCGACCTGAAGAGACAGCCACATATGAACCCACGTCCACATCTCCCACCGCGGATGATTGACCCGATATCTATTGACAAGGCCAAACTTGCTCAACCAAGCTACAATTTCTGGATGCCTTCTCACTAGCTCCTCACCCCCTGTCTGTCTTGGGGTTCAGGATGGCATTCCAGTCCCCCATTAAGATTAAGTGTGACGAATCCATCAGGAACGGCCCCAACTGACAAAAAAGATGACATGTTCCCAATGATTGTTGGGTGCATAAATTGCAACGATCTGAAACGAACCACTGCTCACGGCAATATTGGCCATGATCAACTAGCTCTTGATGCACACATAGACAATGTCTACCTTTGTATCCAGAGAATGCTTGACTAGCAAGGAAACACCTCTGGCCTGCCAGTCCCAGTATGCTGAACCGATGAAAAAGTTGTTAGACAGCACACTAGTATTGATGTCGTAAACAAAGTGTATCTCCTGGATCGCGGCCACATCCACACCAAAGAACAAGAGATCTTGAAGAAGACAGGCAGCCTTACTTCGATCTCTCAAACCCCCTCACATTCAAGCTAGCTTGCTTAATAGACATCTTTTAAGTCTGATTCCCTTAAACACAGACTGGACGAAAATCTGTGGTTGTCAAGATCCTAACAGATTGTCCCAGACTACCAGTACCTATAGCAGATGTAATTCGTCCTTCCATGACAATACCGCTGATGTCTGTGGGAAACGTTAGTTAAAGGGCCCTATATAGAGAGGGGTGGATAAGAATTGGGACCCTCCTTGCACAATACTGTGATAATTTTCTTAGCTCTGGAGACTCTGTTTGGACCATCTGGAGCTTTGAGAAGGCATTTTTTGCTCCTGCAACATAGTCCCAGACCATAAGATTTTCTCCGGAGCTTCTAATAAGTGTAATAAAACCAGGAGCATTGGATCCTCCATTTTATCTCCAACACGACCCCCACCCCCGCCCGATACCCAGTCTTTTTCCTACACTCTTTGTAGCCCCTTGCATACTAGTAGCATTCTCACCTTGCTTGGGGTGAAATGCTTAAAAAAATCTTATAAGAATAAATGTGTAAAATAATTGTATATTCACTTCTGGACTCCATCAAATTTGCATCAGCAAAATTGAGTGGTATGTGGTTTTGGGTTTTTATTCAAATGTTTAATTCTTCTTGCAAGAATGTGAGGAATTCTGCCTTCTCACCTCATAGATTGGACATTTATATAACTTTTTGCTATTCAGTTGTCTTGTGTGTATATATCCTAAGTTCAGGTGGGTTCACTTCCTGCTTATGTCAATGCACCAACTGACATCCTTTGAGGCTCTATTCTGAATTTAGTGGCTTTGAGGTTACCTTCTGCATCAAACCTCAGGGATCCTTGGTCATTTGACATCCTGAATACAAAAACTTACTTTGGTATCTCTTAGGATAAACCCTGTACATATTGAGGTCACCACAGATCAATTGTTCTTATTAAAAAAAAAAGGTTCTTGATGGGCATTAAATTTAGACTGCTTGAGTTTCCTTGGCATGAATCACAATGAAGGAGTACTATTTTAATGTTTGTAGTGGTGTAGTACGAAAATAAAGATGCTGCTTGATTGGAGAACCGAGTTTGAATTCCAGTTGAATCCATTATATTCACTTATGTGCTAATACCCTTGGAGAAGGTATGAATCCTCTTCTTCTCCCCCAGCTATGGGTAAATAGCAGGACAGACCGAGTTCTATAGCCTTGGATGACAACTGGTCTACTGCAGAAAGAAATGGCAACATACTGTGGGAAAAAAATCTGCTTCGTCAGTCATGTATCAAAAGATACATGATCACCTAAGGGTGTATCACTGATTAATGCAACTGCATGTATTTATTAATAAAATACACAATCTGAATCTCTCAAGAACTGGTTGGGTAGTCTTGATATAATTTGACAGCCAGAGGATACTTTACTGCACATATATGAATAGATGTTAATCCGTTCAGTATGTTAGCAGTGAGAGTCTTTTGGCTGAGCTTCTATGCTGCATCACAATGACAAATAGATTAGATTTTTCAAGTCTTGTGCAGGGTTTTCTTGGGTTGAAAATAATTCATCACCTACAAGGGCGTGTAAATGCTTTTGAATTGAGTCAAGGCTGGAGAGTCGATTAGGCAACTCCAGCCCAGATATAGCAGCAATACTCCATTTTTTGTCTGATCTGACTCTTGTAAAAATAGAGGATAGCTGAAGGAGTCGGGTACTTTCTAGTGTAGTACAAGGAGTCAACCATTTTTCCATCATCTTTCATGATGGATCATATATATGAGTTCAGTTTGATGTCTGGGTAAACTTGAGTCCTAATAAGCATTCAAAGTAAGAAGTATCATTGAGAGTATAATCATTCATCATGACTGGAGAAAATTCAGGGTCTGGTTGATGATAATGAAATGTTACCAGCTTAGTTTTGGAAGTATTGAATGTCACAAGCGAGGTTTGTCCTCATTGAGCTGTTAGAGCTAAATCAGAGTATAGATCAGCTGTCAGGCTCTGATCCTCTAAATTTTCAGAGGTACGCCTATAAACCATGATATCATCTGCATAGATATTTATTAATGATATGAGAATGTTTTTGGTCAGATCATTAATATAAAGCAGAAATAATTTTCTTAGGTAATGGATTTATTTATCAATAATTTTATGACTTAAAAAAAAAGCAGAAATAGCATAGGACCAAGGAGATAACCTTGGGAGATTTACTTTATTTTGGTTGTTACCATCAGAATGGTCATTGTACTTTCTGGGTTTTTTTCAGTTGTCTGTCATAGTTGGTAACCTTCCAGTGATTCCAACCCTTTATTCAAAGATTCAATTCACAGAGATAGATTTTTCTCATTTTCTTGTCCATGCTAAAGAATATATCAATCAATTTTATTTCATTAATTCTTATTTGTATTTTTAATGCTGCTGAACCATAGTATGAACCTTTTTTGTGCTACATAATCCAGTGTTTGAACTCACAGCCACCAGCCAACTCATTTTAGCTATCAATCAGGCTATGTTTCTTGTAGGATAATTCCACAAGAGCAACTTTGAGTTTTAAACCTAATGTCTTTTGTCTGCTTCTTCACCTGAACTACACTATATGAACTATTGATTCCTTTCTTCATATTATTTTGCAATATGGTTAACTTTGGAAGATCTCACTTTTATTTTGTGTTTATCATTTGTTTTGATTGATAGAAGATTTTCTTCATGCCAAGGACATTAAAAAATAAGAAAGATATCAATTCAGGCTTCCTGATTTTTTTTTGATTTTTTTATTCATTCATTTTTATATGGTTTATCAATCCTTTGCAGGTTATTTAAAGCCAAAAAATATATTTTAGATTGTAAATTTTTGGGAGATAATAATGGTTTAGTCTTACTAATTAACCCATAGCTCAGGGTGAAGAAGTGGATTCATACCTTTCCCAGTGGTATTTTGCATATAAGTGAATGTAATGGACCCAACTGAAATTGGAACTCAGCTCTCCAATTAACAATTCAGAGCTATTATCCATTACATCATCTGCACATCCAAGTTTACTACATCTGGTATTCCCAGGCAGTCACTAATATAGGTACTGACTGGGCTTGATGTTGCTTAACTTTGGTGATTGTACGGAATTTGTGCTGCAGAAATTTATTGGTCGACCATGGAAAAATTCTCTTTATTTTGGGCTACTGTAATTATTAATGATGGCAGTTATGTTACAGGAAAATAAAATTTAACTTTTTGAAAATACATTACTTTCAAAATAGCCTAACATAAAAGAAAACCCAATTCAAAAATGGTTTTGTTTACGATTTATCAATAAAATTACTTTTGAATGCATATATGGGCTTTGTCATAAAATTTTTATTGTTACTCATTTTTTGTCACATGATATCCAATATTATGGCTGTAAGCTTCTGCTAATGGGACTGTTATTATTTCCTTTATTCTTCTGATAAATGTTTAATGTTTATATCAAACAGTGATTTTTGTTGATAGGAACAGACAGAAATAGTAATGTTGATAACATTGGCAGATCAGTTGCTTGATAAAAATAAAATTTTATACAAATTAATCTATCTAATTTTGTTTGCATCTATCTTTCTATCTGTATATTATTTATCTCTATATAGTATCTATCTCTTAGTCTGTTCTCACCTATCTATCAATTTATCTATTTATCTTATTGTTTGCATCTATCTATCATTCTGTTCACATCTATCTATTTATCATTCTGTTTCCATCTATCTCTTATTATGTCACATCATCTATCTATTACTCTGTTCACATATCTATTATTCTGTTCACATCTATTTTATTTTGTTCACATCTATCTATTATTCTGTTCACATCTATTTTATTCTGTTCACATCTATCATTGTGTTCACATCTATCTCTTATGTCATTATCTATCTATCATTCTGTTCACATTTATCTATTTCTTATTATGTCGCATTTATCTATTGATTTTTCTATAATTGTTTGTGTATGTGTGTATGTAAGCACTTGATGGTTGTGGCAAAATTACTTACATGCTGGGCAGCAACTGTTCAAGGAACAGAAAAATGGGAAAAGAGAAAGATTTTTGAACATGTGCTACTTTTTATAATCATACAATGCAACCCTAATTACATGATTACATGTCTAAGGGAGGTAATCCACTTTCACCACATATATTCCTGTTTATTTTATTTGTGATTTTGCTTTCTACAGAATCTGAAAATCTTTACTTAGCCCAACAAATATTGTCCGGGCTAGATTAAATGGGTACATCGAGAGTAGCATATGCTATAAAGAGGCTCTAATTTAAAATGCCCATAAATATTAAATCATATTATTTACTGTCATAGTAATAAATCATAAGTCATGTAATTATTTAACTTCTGTTAACAAAATAAACGAACACATAAAGATATGAAACAAAAGATATTTGAGTCGATTTAACAACCTTAATATAATGTTATCTGAAATAAGAATTAAAGATGTAGCTCCCTTGATAAGCAAAAATTAAAATTGCTAGACAGCTTAAAAGTATTTAATATAGGATCTTCGAAAATGCAGGGCCTGCAGCATTTACTACTTAAACTACTAGGTTGACCCAGCATTGGTTATACTAATATAATTTCAGAGAAAACTTTATATACTACTAAACAATAACATTAACTCCCGATGTCTGTTTATATGACTGGAATATATAATAATATAAAAAAATTCTAAAACATTCTAAAATTCCCAGCATCTCTCATTTGTGCACATGTGTAATCATGCCAACATAGCAAATTTAGTCCCATAATGTTCTGAAGGATGAAATGTGTCACAAGTAAACTTTTTCTACATTGTCATACATTTTCCCCAATATTATTCTTGATATATATAAAAATATATATTGTTGTATAATATGTCTATATATACAATAACAGAAAATAAAATTACCCCATGAATATATTTCAGTTTACTCTCGATTACATGTGTAGATAATATAGATGGATTACAGTAAATGATCACACACATATATATATATAAACACACTCACTCATACACATGTCAACACAGGCACAGTTCCAAAATAACAGAAATACAGTGTATATCTTCCGAGCATTTTAGCACAGATCTGTACTCTCTCATGCATATGACTGAATACATGGCAAATACTATCCTGACACACATGGTTCTTGCATCTGTTGGCATAATATAAGTGTTGTAGGTGGGTTAACTAAATGTGTCAGATGTTGTCCCATCATATTCCAAACATGATCAGCAGAGGATAGGTCTGGCAACTTTCCCATGCAGGAAAGTTGTCAAATATCTTGCAGGGTATATTTAGTAGCAATGGAATTATGTGGGTGGGTATTATCCTGTTGGAACAAAACACTGCTTACAAAAATGGTAGTAGAATTGATTGAACAATATTCTAGTTTTAAATGGTATTTGTCTGCATTCCCTATACAAAAAAACACCAAAGATGAGTGAGAGTTACAAATTATGGTACCTTATACTATAATGTCAGGTAAGATTCATGCATCTCCATTGTCCTATAGCAAGTAAAAGATTCCTGATGAGCTCAATTGATATTCCTGGGGCCATATTTACTCTGACTTCAAGCACCTCACATCATGAAACCTTTCACTTTAACTCTGATTCTTTGGCATTTTGAAGAAATAAAATTGATTTCTTCAATTCACAAAGTTTTAAAGATATTTTTAAACTAAATTTAAAATAAACACTTTTAAATTCTCAAAGTTTTTGTATTACTTTAAACTTGTTATAAATTAAAAACTTAAAAAATTTTTTTTCATTTATTTTAAAATTTGAATTTTTAACTGTGCCCTCCTCATCCAGATACTAATCCCAATGTTGAATGTTCAAGCACCGGATGAAGGGCAGATTTTTAATTTTGAGATCATCCTGATTCCAAAAATCTATATTATGTCAAGTGTGGCCAGAGTTAGAGGGGTTTCAGATACATGGATGGACAGACGGATAGAATTTGCCATTTATTTATATAGAAAGATAAAGAAAGAAAGAGATTGTATGTGGTTGGTTGGTTAATCTTGTTTAGCAGTATATCAACACCTCTATGGGTCACTTAATGCTGAAATCTAAATATTTTGGACACAATTTTATGCCTTCAACTAAATATATTTTGAACACAATTTATGCCTTCAACTACAGATAAAATGTTGGTAATTTTACTATAAATATGTAGTTTATACTTCCATAGTGTTTTGTCTTTGTATGGGGGCTCACTATTTGCCCATAGATGGAACCCTGACAGGTGCTACCATTCTGGGTTAGGGTAGATCTAGGAACAACAGCAATTAAGAAGTGGCTCCACACTCCTCAAAACCTCTAATCACCCAATCAGAGCCCTTGCTGCTAGATGTAGTTTATCATCATATCCAGGACTATATTGTGCATGTGGTTGTTGGACAAAACTAAGTTTGGTACAAGGACAAGTTATATTGCTTACATATTCTAGTTTGTGAGATCAGAAAACAAACCTTTGTATTAGAGCAGGTGTTCTATTTTGTTCAGAGTTAGACATGAATATATATTGAGAGAAAAGTGTAAAAAGTAGATATATATATTTTGAGATTAAATGCTAGAAAAATTACTTTTCCAATGTCCTCACATGTGCACATACACATGCATAGTCATTATTATACATACACACATGCATACATACATGAAAAACGCCTTGAAAAAAAACAGCTCTTAACATCAACTACAACCATGGTCATAACGTACTGGCAGTGTTTGGGAATTAAAAATATATCTATCTATCAGCAAAATATACACCATTTGTAATAGTACAATAAAAAATCCTTGAAAAATCACTAATGGATTAACTGAAAGTGGTTAGAATGAACAATCATTTGGACTATTTTTACACTAAGTTGATAAAAGAAATTTCTTTTCACACACAAGAAATACAATAAAAAACTGAACAAAAGTATAATGTAAGTTATCTTCAATGAGACATGTATAATTGTGGATTTGCTGTCCAAATATACAGTATACAAATATACATACATATATATATATATATATACACCTCTCATTAGGTTATCAGATCTATATATACATATTCATATATACACCTGTGATTAGATTATCAGATTGAACATCAAATATTAACAGTCTATAATCATTTTTTTTGCTAAGATATTGATAATGACACTTGAGATAATCATTGTTAAATATAACTTCCAGCAAGATTAATTCTTTTCTGTAGAATGCCAAAATCAATGAAAATTATTGTTCCAAGAATGAAATTTTCTTCTTTTACCTTCATTATTGTAATTTTCTAAATAAGAAAACCAAATTCCTCCTTTTGTTTCAAGAAAATGATTTACATCACATTGTTTTGTTTTGGTTTTTATTGACCATGTAAAGATTTTCTAATTTATTTCCCAAAATGCAAGGAAACATATCAATTTTGATTATTGGAGTTTAAAGATTGTCTTGAATTATGTAATAAGATGGCACATTACTTTGACAGATACAATCTAAAATTCTGACAGATGGAGATAAAATGAATGGAGATAAATGCTAAGAAATATATTTGACTCAGAGAATAAAATCATGTTGAACAAACTTACTTTTCTTGTCTTTCTGAATACAGAAATATAAAAAAGCATTCATGAGATTATTTTATGATTTTATTTTTGTATTTGGAATAACATTTTTTATTTTTTATTTAATAAAAAAGTGATGTGTAGTCATAGAAAATAAATTAGAATGAAAGTTTTCTTTCATTGGAAATTGTGTGAGATTTATTCTATTTATGAATACAACTTGATAAAGCATTTCTTACATTGATTATAATATCTAATAAAAGATGATTTGAAGATACTGTGAATATATATGAAAATATTATATATATATATATATATATATATATGAAAATATTATATATATATATATTATATATATATATATATATACATTATGCAATGCATAGCATATGTAATCTAGAGATGCAAAAGGCGATTATCTCCCTTTGGTTGAGATGAAGTCACAAGGATCATGTGATGGTCGCTTATTGACATCAGTTCATAGATTGATGAAGGCGGTCAGTCATTCAGTTAGCCTTCTGGAGTCAAAATGAATGTTTTCTCTTTAGCATGGGAAGGTTAATTTGGTCTCCCAGGGAGGCTCACAAGCCCATAACAACATTTTCCCATTGGAAATATAAATTTGGCCTGCTCAAATTCCAGTTGGGAAATATAAAAATGGCTTAGAGGAATCCTTCAGCATCTTAAATTCTTGTTGGCAATTATGTCAAGTAAGAACCTTTATTTCTTTGCCATTTACAAACTGCTTGTTGTTGAATACGTGTGTTATAGTTTCCCTGTATGGGACAAGTGTAAATATTTGTATATAATTTTATGTATGCAGATAGGAAATATTCCTTGCTTACTTAGCAGCTGCATTAATAAAATAAATCATGTTTAACATTCTGAGATGAAGTGTTATCATTATTATAGGAATTATTTGTATTAAGATTGTCATCATCATGGTTATTTAAATCACAAAATTTCATTTAATGTATTTTTTAACTTCCTTCCAGTATGTATAGCATCTGGTAAGCCATAACTGTCTTCCAATACTGATCAAAGCTGTAACAGTTCAGTGGTGATGGGGGAAATTGGCTGGTCACATTCAGTGCCTTGGAAACTAAACTACCAATACACAACATTTAAAGACCCATAATACAATCTCCGAAAGGACATAAGAATTCATAAGCAACATCATTTTTATTATAGATTTTTATTATAGATTTTTTTATATTCTTAGATCCTGTGATATTGGTAATGATTAGGTTATACATTTTTAACTTTTTATAATAAATGATAATTTTTTTTATAACTGTGAGGATAATCATTTTTGTAATTAAGTAATATATATACTAATTTACTTGTTTCATCAAAAAATGATGGCAGCATTTAATTTTCTTTTTACCC